TTCTTGCCTCAGATGTTTGTGTACATGGATTGTACATCGAAACTCACCAACAGTTCTGACCCAACCAACCAAATGTTCTGGATCCTTTGAGAAAATTCATATTAATTCTTGACGCTATTCGAGAGTCTGTCATTTACTTTCTTGAGCTTCAAGCAAATGAATTTCGCTAGTTTGTGTATTGCTTCATGCTTGTTCACTATTAGTCTTGGCGGATTTCCTTCCTTGTGTATCTTCAGTAGTCCGTAATCTGTCGATGGCTTTGCTTCATTTTTGATTTAAGATTTCATCCTGTCAATTTCCCCATTAGTATGCATTTCCTCTTTTTTACTTGCTTAATTAAATGTGGTACGGTGTGCCCTTTTTAGCGACTTTCATGAGAACCCTTCGCACTCTACGCTGGCCTACTCACCCCCCTTCATCCTTGTGCTGGTAATGTTGATCAGAGTCTGCCATATTGTTACGCCGTCCTACTTCCCTAGCTCTTACCACAGTCTCTCTCCTGACCCGTAAGATCCGTCTGCCCTCTCCCTGGTTCACATAGTTCACTCGATGGCACAGATGGGGTGGCAGGGGTCGAGTGAAATATTTGAACCAGTGAGAGGGCAGACTGATTTTACGGGGCAACAGACTGGTAAGACCCAGGGAAGGAGGACTGCGTAACAGCCATCGTGAAGTGCGGAGGGTTCTCATGAAAGCTGCTGAAAAAAGGGCACACCGTACTACATTTAATTAAGCAAGTAAAAAATTATGACAATGAAGGCGTGATAGGAGGATATAGGAAATGTGAATAGACCAGGGTAGAAGGGGAGATACCATAACTATTTAGCACACGTTTGGTCAAAGGATTGGCTTCACTTGTCTCATTTGACGAGTTGTAATATGGTGCTACGAATGTCAAAACTCACTGGCGATGCCGGCGAGACGTCTGAGAATGTACCACGTCCACGGTCCGAATTTGTAAATGATTATGCATACAATGGATTTCCTACCAATATGACCAAGTTGCAAAAACAAGGTCAAACAACTTCGATACAACGAAAGGAGACTGCGACTACACAAAAGGCCACACGATCTCGGTCTTCATACCTTCGAAGTATTTTATGGTTGACAAAATCATGGGATTTTCCATTAGGTGAGCAGCTAGCCTAGAACACTTTAATAGGAGCACAGCTGCCTCGTATTCTTGTTTGAGGAAGTCTTATTAAAGAATGGTCACATTCTCTGACTTATGTGACATTAAGGACGACATCTAGACGGTTCGCCAACAGCATATATGCTTAAATTAATCCACATCGCCAAATTTATCTTCGGTTTCCGATCACCTCAAGTAACAAATACACATTTTCAAATAAAATGAATGGCTTAACAGCATTAACTTACTAAGGGATTCTCTGAAATCATAATGCTTATATGTATAATGCATGTACGTATGCATACTTTATAAGTATAACTACAACAGTCTTGAGCCCTCAGGAAGGTATATCAAAAAGGATAATCATTTAAGACATAGGTTATGGTCTCCAAACTAGTCATATTTTGAATTTCGATTTTAATGAACTAAAAATCTAGGCCTTAATGAATGATTTTTTTTAATTATCTAATAAATTTGATCAATGGAATAGATGCATCAATTAAAATGTGTTAGCACATTATAGAGGATTGGCTATATTATAGAGCGTATCGACATCAATCTTAATTTGCCAGCCTCTAATGCCTGACTAAAATAAATGTGTCATGTATGTTTGTGTCGCTGTGTCAAGTTTGCGTAAATCATGTTCAGGTTTATATCAAAGTTTCGGTGCATTGAGGGCTTTTTTTGCATCATTACTGCTTAAGTGTACTCTACCTAAATAGTGACCTCTTAATTTTATTGTATTAAGCTACGCTTTGGCTACGAATCGTGATGCACATCTGACAGGATGGGGATTATGAAAAGAAAGCATGAGGAGCAGAAGAAAAATGATTGATATATCTTCCCTCCTGCGAACTGGCCCTGAAGCTGCGACCGCTACTAATAAAATGGAACATTCGTACAATCTTTAAAGAAAGTACTACCCTCTCTATTGCCATGCCAACAGGACATGAAAAATTCAACAAAATAGAGTGCCCAAGAGTTTACAGCATAAATTGCAAGGACTGTAAACATAAGTACATTGAAACATAATCATCATAAGGATCGGAGATAACTGAACACATTTCCTTGATCTGCAACTAAATTGATTGGAATGTAACGGAAAGATTGTTCCATATGGGAAATGCACAAGAATAAGGAATATCTAGGAGACCGTGGAGTTATCATTTACAGAAACCTGATGAACAAGGGATTAGAAAAGGTAAGTGGGCGAGAAATGTGCATATTGCCTGGGTAGACTTGGCGATTCAGCGAGGATATCTAAAAGAAGATACATGAAAGTCAGGAAAATACGATTGCAGTGAGAAATCAAACCTGGAGTATGAAGAGTTATCAATATGGGTCCACTTGTGGTATGTAAAATTTAAGGTCATAAATATCCTAGTGGATTTACCTCATTGTCGCAACTTGATCTTGTTGTTAGGATGACTTAGTAGAACGCACCTAGTCCGAAGTCGTCTGCCATAGTAGTTTTCATCCCAGCATCAGACAGTGGACTTGGTACATTCTCAAATGTTTCGCCAGCATCGTAGTCGGCATCATCAAGGAGTGCTACCATTCTCCGCAATAAGCTACGAACTCGTCAGAGACAAGTGAAGTAGCTTGGTGAGGATAATGGCAAAATTCATTAATGATGCCGGCGAAACGTTTGAGAATGTACCAAGTTCACTGTCTGATGATAGGAATTATGTCAACTACTATAGCAGACGACTTCGGACTAGGTGTGTTCTACTAAGTCACCCTGACAACAAGGCTAAGTTGCGACAACGAGGTCAACCTAGTTATATAGATCGAAAAGAGACTGCGACCATACCAGAGGTCACACCATCTTGATATTCATATCTTCATAAATATCCAAGTTATACACCATTAGAAGTGCTAGACTAAAGATCTAAGTCTATTCAAAATTTACCTGAGTGTGGAAACCGACCTGGGGGCACAATATCATTCGGCACAAAGTGTCATTGTGTGTAAATTTTTCATTTGTATGTGTGTATGTGTAGTGAAAGGTGACCAGTGATGTGTCTGACTAAGGAGGCCATCAACCTATATACACCTGCACAATTATGTGGGACTACCAATAGGAAAACGAAAGGAGTATGCTTTTTGTGATTTAGGAGTGGAGAATTGAAGTGGTTTCGAATCAAGCCAGACAGGGTCCCAGATAATGAAAGCGAATGTGGTGGGAATGAGAAAGAATATAACTGGCATGGCTTTGAAGCTTAGAGCGAGGGCCACAACATCTTTGTCTTGATATTTAGCTAGGGAGAAGAAGCCTAGGTATTAGAATCATTGGCCCTTACGTACTCGAATATGGCATAAACGGGGACGGGGATCGAAGGCTCATGGGCAGCCAGATGATCAAACAGTGATTTTCATATCTAGCAGGGACGACTGATAAGCGAGGTGAAAGGGGGTTAAATCAGTCTAGCCATGACCTACGAGCCCTGCGAACGGTGTCTATAACCGGTGTTGAAAGTGATTACATTTCACTAAATCCACTTGAAGGGACACATTTAGGCAACATTGGAGAAAAGGAAGTAGAATTGATTTAAAGGAATTAAGTACTAGAAGCTACGACAAAAAAGGAAGAGAGGAGTGATGCCACAATGGTTGAACAGAAAATTAGTCAAGTTTAACACTAATTACATAACAAGTTGTAACTACGTGCTAAGGATGATTACTTAATGAAAATGTTGTCTTGAAATGTACCAAATAAATAGTCTGATGCTGAAAATCATTAATATTATTGCAGAGGGCGCAGAACTAGGTACTTTCCACAAAATCTCCTTGTCACTCCGACCTAGATGCAAAAACTAGGTCTAACCATCAGTATGACCAAACTAAAGCCACACCATCTTGGTCTTTATATATGCAACCCAGATATCCTTTATTTATCATAATGCACTAGGATTATGTACGCGCATAGTTTTATTTTTGCATTATGTTTTCTTAATTGTGTGTTAGTAAGGGAGTTTATCAAGTTTGCATTGACAAAATAAGTCATCCCTTATATTTGAGACCATTAGATCCTTACGTTTATTGGCTTGTTAGATTTTGATCCTTTTTACTTTGGTCTTATTTAAAATTATTTCGACTATCATGCTAATTTTCTCATTACCTTTTAGAGCTACCGCTGGCTACGGGCAATGGTATGTCGTAGTTCCCCTCTTTTAGTTCAAGTCGTTCTGCTGGATTAATTAATTTAATTTGTGGTGTTTATTTTACCTGTTTGTCACAAAAAGGAAGGCAGGATCTTTGCCTAACTTCGGGTTTATCGATTCATATTTTTGTAATTAGCCTGAGTAAAAATGAACTTGGCGTGTTATCTTTTTACGGGAGTTTTTATACTTAGTACTGACAGCTAATATGTACTATCTATATTTTGAATCGACATTTCATTACCTTACTCGGATAATTTATTCTTTTCATCCTATCTTCTAACTACTATTTAACTCATCATTCTCCCTTTACCTTTCTCTTCATTCGATGCACCATTAACTCCTGCCCAAATCTTGTTCAGAACAATGCTGTATCTGCAAGTACTCGAATCACTCAGTTGCAACGCCAAGACCCCGGGGCTTCAGTTCTTCAAACCACACCTATTCCAACATCCACCTCGTCTTTGTCTGGTCCGGCCTCTTCGAATTGCCTTAATCAGCGACCTTCCGCTTCGACTGTCTCAGCCGCAATTCTCGGTCAGTCAAATAGCCTCTCATCTGGTATTTCGCCGCCTGGGCCTTCGGGAAATCGATCAGAGCCTTGCTCTGGGGAACCTGGGTCCGCCGGGCTTATCTTCCAGCAGAGCCTCCAAGGTATCATATTCAGGTTTACTTGTGAAATTGGCAATTAGGAGGAAAGATGGTTTTGGCGATAGAACTATACTTTTTATTAGGCATATTGCAGCATTATTTGTTGGAGTTGTAGATGCGAAATGCTTTCTAACTTAGGTAAGGTATTCTTGTTCAAATTGAACCGTAGCTTTCGCAGTCCATCACCTTACGAGGAAAAGATGCACTAACTATGTCTTGTAATCTGTAATTTCAATAGAAGACAGGCTCATTAACCCGTATTTAGAATAGGTCTATGTTGATATGTCAAATATGATTTAAATTTCTCTTCGCTTTTAAATATATAAACATTCCGTCTTTCCACTTGTCCCAAAGCTGCTTGGCAGGATCTCGTGTCCGGCCCATCTATTTCTGCTCCGTGCTCAGGACCCAACTCCAGCTCTTCATGCAACTCTCGAAATCCATTAGTGCTTGATTTGCTCTGTCAACGCCTTGGTCAAACCGTCCAATCAACGGTCGATGGAGCTGCCAAACCTTCACATAACCTTGTCGGACTGTCGCCAACTCACTCCTTTCTTCCATCTAGTGGTAATGTTAGCTATTCCTGCTCTAGTGTTCATAGTCAATCGCATCCAAGCATATCTCCTGCAATCACTACTTCCAGTCTTCTCGCTGCCCTTCAACAGCAGACTCAACAGCAACAGCAAAAACGGCCCATCGTTAAAAATCGGCAGATTGGCCAACGTACCGAGATACAACAGACAATTGATGGACTAGCTAACTCATCTGGAACTATCAGCACACCGACAGTGCCGCCTGGATTCGCCGCTACCAGCGCTTCATTAGCTGCGCAAAGGGGTAAGCCCCTGCATGACTTTCTTTATACGAGACTATATTTTTAATTCACTATGTATACCCTACTTAAAACCTCCTTAAGTTAATAAAGAGACAATCAAAACTTGCTCAGAATCCTCATACTTTATAACTCGATACGCTTAAAAGATGGCTGATCTCATCTTCGCACCTGTCCGAAGTCCTCTGTTATAGTAATTATCATAATTTTCAGCGTCAGACCACGGATTTATTCATTCTCAGACTCCTCGCTGGCATCATCAGTTAAGTCAATTCCTTGACCAAATTTCTGCCAGAACAGTTGCGCTATCACTTCTCTGTCCTGGCCATCCATCTTCTCTTTACCCTCTTATCCCACTCCCGCCTTACCACAACTTCTGACTTGCCTACATTCCACTCAAAAGGTGTGCCCTATTTGCAAATTTAGTGTGGCGTCATCACATCTGCTGTTCACCTTGCTTTCCCTTTTTTGATCGGCTAATCCGACTCGAGCCTCCTATCCGGATCTCTCTCATGGTCTCAGGTCGGTTGACCGATTTCACTCGGTATTGGTCCCAGTATACTTTTTACTCCAGGCGCTATTTCTAAAGTAAAATGTACACTGGGACTGGAACCGAGTGAAATCGGTCGAAAAGAAAGATAAGAAATGGATCTACGGAACAATGAGGGAGATCCGGACAGGAGGTTCGAGTTACATTAGCCGATCAGGTGAGATGACGCCACCCTGAATTTGCCAAGAGGCACACCTTTTGACGAGGGGAATGTAAACCTGCAGAAGTTATGATTGGGCGGGAATTACATATGAGGGTAAGAAGATAGATGGACCAGGAGAGGAAGAGAAGTGATAGCATAATCGTTTGGGTTGAAAGTTGGTCAAGAACTCGATCACACTTCTTTCTTTGATGGGTTGTAGCTTGGTGCTGAGAATTGCACCGACGATAGCGACAAAACGTTTGACAATGTATCAAATGCAAGGAATTATGATAGCTACTATAGCAGAGGACTTCTAACAAGGTGGACCCAGCTAAGTCTCTGACAACATGGCCAAGTTGGAGAACGAAGTTAACTCATTTCTTTACACCTAAGAAGATAATGATCATACCGAGGGCCAGACCATCTTGGTCTTCATATCTTCCATTATCATTAATTGTCTATAGACAAATAGTAATCCTAGGTAAATCGCTGTCGATGTTTGTTTAGCCGTCGGCTACTACGCCCAGACTGACGATTGCGATCTTAAAGATATCCTTCTTCGTGTTCGAGAATAATCAATCTTCTAATCCCTTACTCTAAGATTTGAAAACTAAATAAAAGATCATTTTCTTATCCTTAATACTCAATCTCCAGAAATTCTAATCTAATGTGATCAAATGAGACCTTTAAATTCAATAATCCTCAATTTTTTCGTTTATAAGCAGGTCTTCGAGATTACCACACAATTGCCTTCGATTTTTAGCGCTACTAAATTTTGTATACACTTTTAACACGGGATTTTTCGGCTTCATCCTTGTGTTGTAAAGATATTAATTAGAATTCGTTGATCCGCTTTCATTTAGACTCCCTTAAAAGGCCTGTGCCAACCCCTTATTTGATAAAATATTCCATTCCTTTTGTTTGAGATTATAATGTTTACCCTCTTCATTAAAAAAATATTTGCTCGTGAATGGATATCAGACCTATACTTCATGAAATTTACGTATGCTCATTAAAGCTCTTGCTATAATCTTATTGAAATATCATAGGGAGATTCGTTGTGGAACGGTGACCGACAAATGCTGATTGCTATTTGATCTTCCATTATAACTTCTTCAGAAGCAGAGAGGCGCATTCTTGCTCAGCAGCAGCAGCGCGACCATCGGGCAATGAATTTCAATTCTGTCCATCGTCTCGATGAGTCTTCTTCTCTCTCTCTGGCTCACTTTCAACAGTTGCTAGCACACCGACAGGCACAGCAAGCTGGGGCTAACGCTACTGGAAGCATGTCCCCGACGCTCGTGGCGACGGCAAAAGCATCAGTTGCTGCCGCTGAACTTGAACGCTTCCGTTTGCTCGAACGGGGCTCCACTTCGTGGGCTGTGCTGAACGGACCGCCGCCTCCACCTGGCTTAGCTGGCCCGAATCAATCTCGCACTGAGACGGGTTGATTATGGGTTCATTACTAGCCATCTGTCCTTAATTTTATTGACTGACTCCATCCACTACCCTTTCATCACTCCTGAATTCCAGATATCAGTTATTTTCCTCCTTTCTTGGTCTGGCATAGCCATGTATATATTTCTTGCTTTTCTTTTCGTCCCTTTACTCTTCATGTCTTTTTCCATCCATCCTTCTGGCATTTCTTGTTTTATCAATCTTATCTAATCTAATATCCATTTCTCCACATATCCCACACCATATACTAAATAAACTCATCATTCTTGCTACACATTTTCATTGCCCTAACTCCTTCACACGGGCACCTAATTTTAGACAGGTGAGGTCCGTTCCGTTCATTTTTCACCTCTGGAGTAATTTCCCATTAAAATGCTTTGTTGAAGTAGACACGTGTTCATTAGCTTAATTCCCATTGGGTCTTTTAAATGGATAAATGGTTGTGCTGGTGGCTCTTCTAAAGCCTCGTTTGGGAAGCCATTGCCAATGTTTGTCTGGGTTTTTAATATTGTTTATAGTGAGGCTTTTTTGGAGGATATCGATTTAGAGTTTACTACTG